TTTCAGACTTCACAAAGCCTTTTTGCACTGATTGACCACCATAGCAACACTAAAATTCACCCTCAAATACAGGAAAATATAAGGTTAATTTCAAATTGTATCTAACCAAATTATCTACTTATAATCAACATAATCTGAATTCAAAGCAGAGGATGAACAACTGAATTCTAAGAGTGGACAAGCAGAAGACTTGCATAGGCGTGGGGTGTCACAATAAACAAAAGTAAATAAATTCACTCATAAGTACGTCAGGGAAAAAATAAGAGATCAGACTAAATGCTAGAGACTTAGCCCTGAATACACTCCTAGTGAGGAGGAAGTTGTTTTAAGCATTCCTAATCCTCTCTTCGATGGATCCCAGATCAGTTAATTCTCCATATTCTAAAGGTTTTAGACACCAATTGTATACTTCTATGCCTTATAAAGGAGGAGAAGTTACGGAAATTAAGACTTACGATACGATCAGTGAGAAAATCTGAACATTAACTTGTATCTGACTCAAACTAGTGTAGATTAGGGAGGAAAAAAAAATCTATCCAGTAATTTACTAACAGCAAGAGTTGAATAAGATTTAACACCAAAACTCAAAACAGATGAGACCTAAATAATACTTGTCTGGAAAAGCAAGTGGAAGAATCACGTTTATCCTGCTGTCACAATGGCAAGAGAGAAACGGAGGCTCTGACATACATCTGCACTAACGAAATCTTCTTGGATCCCTAACATTTTTTCGGGTAGTTTGTTCACAACTGAGACCAGTGGTTTTTATTTCTAAATGAGTACCAGCTGTCTGGCCAGTGGAACAAATACAAGCTCTCTCACCTCAAGGCTGATCAGTTGTGAAAGCTGCAAGCAGAGTTGCACTTATTATGCTAAAGAAATTTCCATTGCTGTGAACTTTATCAAGCCCTTTACTTGATGCACTTTTGGCAACTGCATTCCTCATATCTATAGACAATGCAAGACCTCAGTTTTTAATACGTGATATCTCGTATTACTTAAAACTTGACTAGAGAAAGTCTAAACACTATTATTAAAATGACAGCCAAATCCAAAAATTCACCACTGTTAAACAACCCCAAGGCAGTTTTCATGACAAGTATCTATACATTTGAGACATTAAATATTTGCTCAAGCTTACCTCACAAAATTAAAGAACTCAAGAAAAACTACATTTTAGATACTGCTTAAAGATGTTTATATAGACATACACTTTAGTTTAATTGTAAACAATATAAATACTGTGAGTCTTATTTGTAACTGAAGTGTTTTAATAGCGACAAAGTATTCACTATCGAGTGCAACTAAAGATGGTCTAGAGGGGCTTACTTTAAACTAAGGTACTTTGAAGCCAAAACTGAAGCCACACCAAAATAATAAGCAACTTGTCTCCACATTTAACTCCATGTTATTGAGCATTAAAGCTCAATAATCACACAGGCTCTAACAGAAAATTATATTTGCTCCATAAACTGTTTTGAATAAAGAAATTCTCAACTGCCACATCATAAATATAGAAGGAATACTAATTTTACTTTGTTAGGATTAAAAAGTCTGATTTAAGTGTGTAGCTACATTACAAAAGCATATTATTCATTCATCAGCTTCTTCATCAACTGTGCTCTTATTTGTACTGAATACCCATGTCCGTGTATATTAAACTCTATACAAACTCTATACAAAGCTCTGTACAAAGCAATTATATTCTCATTCACAGAAATCTACACTGAATTCTACCAGCAAACTGTTCCTCAGAACGCTGAACTCTCAATAGCAAAAACTGGTTACAAATCATGTCAATACTGAAGCAGTAACTAACAAAATTCTCTAATGTTAAGTGCAATATTTTACTTTTAAATGCAGGAGTGTCCTAAATATTTCACATATTAATTTATAATTTTGAAACACATTTATCTTAGTTTTATACAATATACTCTAGAAAGCACACAAAGCACATGAAAAATAATAGAGAACAACCAATTCATCTGACCATAATTAAACCACAACTAAATATGTTTAGCTTGAAAAGTCAAGTTCCATAAGTTCTCAGCAAAAAAAAATAATTTTCAGTGCTTCTGCGGAGAATTCTGGGAAGAATAAGTTTACTTTTAAATTTTTGCATAGTAATTTATTTCACTAAATTCATCTGCAAAGTCAGAATAGAGTTTGACTAGAGCAATCATGAAGAAGTCAAATTTCAGAAAACAAAAAGTATTGGCAAATTAAACAGAATCCTGCTATTTTATCAAGATAACATAGATCTATTTTGTTTTCAGCTGTTCATACAAGGAAACCTATCAATTTACTCAACGTCAATGCTACAGATAAAGTGCTTCCATACAAGATTCTTTTTTTTTTTTGGAGGGGTACTACAACAAGTCTCTCTACTCTAAATGGCTGTTTAAGTTTGTTATGAGCCAGAACAGGTTGTCCTTTAATTACAAGCTGACCACAATATAAGCATGCTAGCAAAACTCTGCTATCTAACACTTTGGAAAATGAGCGTCACTGCTGCAGAATAAGCTACATTTACTTTCATAACTTACAGGATGAGCAAACAGACAAGTTCCAATTTGCCATTTTGAAAATACACATTCACAGAAACGCAGTAAATGAAAAGAATTTAATATAATGATGCTATTACAGATTCGGTCTTCTAATCCTGGAGAAGCAGTTTTGGTACAGAGGCAATCAATTTGCATTCCTTCTTTAATACAAAAGGAGTTTCCATTAATCATCAGAACAGTCTACTAGCTGAGTTAGCTAAATATCTAAATAGGAAAAGTATTTGTGCAAACAGTTCAATTCAAGATAAAATATTCCAAACAAACTACAAAGACTTATTACAAGCTACAAACAAAATTAAGGGAGAAATAACACTCTGCTTAGATGGTAACTTAGTAACACATTCAATTATACTAGTATTTGTGGAACCATTCAAATTTATCAATCTTCACAGCATTTTCTACTAAACAGAAAGTAATCACTACAATATTCAAACACTGCAAAATTTGGAGTGGGGGGGGAGCAGGGAACACCATGATGCTAAAAACATTTTTTTCCCTTAGAGGGGAAAAATATATATATATATAGTTGTCAGTAACTTTACACTTACCCTGCCTCCAGCCCTACTCAAAATCCACAGCTACAGAATGGGTCATTTAAGGTAGTAGCTCAAAAGAATGCTCAATCTGTAGTCATTAACACAAAAGTTTGAACAGCTTCAAATATTATAGTCACCACAAAGTTTTCTTAGTGAACACTTATTAAAAGCATTCTTTCACCATTTGTCAGAAAACTACACATACTATGTAACTGACTGTTTACTGTAGTAGTAACAAGACTTGTAAAATACATGTGACAATTTCTGATTTCTAATAACAATAAAATATTTCATGAATGTGACTTGAAAGCACCACCCATTACTACTTGCTGTAATCAGCAAGCTTAAGCACCACTGAGAACAAAAGCAACAGCTTTTTTTTTCCAGTAGCAATCTACAAAAATCCATTCCTTGATGTATATTTATATAAAGTTCCAGTAAAATTTCTCTCTCAAATATGAG